TGAGAAACTCTGCCAGTGTTACTTTTTTATTTGTCTAACTCAAGTATTCGTTTCATTTTTGATTCGTTTATAGTGGTTGTATGCCTGTTTTGTTTGTTTAGTTCTGTATTGTAAAAGGCTTTCTTCTTTTCTTCACATTTTGTCTTCACTTCCTCTTTAAACCACAGTGTTTTCTTTTTTGTTAATGTGTTACTTTCCTCTCTCCAAGTGATTCTGTTGCTACGTTAATTATTTTATTTTTGAGTTTTTCCTAGTTTTCCTCGATGTTATCGTTTTCTAATATTTCATTCCCAGCGATCTTGTCTGATATTCTTTTCCTGTATAAGTATTCCGTGGATTCCGTATTTAGTCCTTCGACTTCAATTTTTGTTTGTGTTGGCGCCGCTCTTTTGGGTGGCGAAGTAGTTCAGGATTATTCTTATTTTACATAATACTAGGTTGTGGTCGCTAACTACATCTGCTCAGTTGAGGCATCTTACGTCGATTATTTTTGATGGATGTATATCTGTTGGTTATAACATAATCTATCATAGATCTTTGTCCACGGGTGTTATTAAATGTATATTTGTGTTGGTCTTTGTGGTCAAATAATGTGTTGTTTATTCTTAGTTCGTTATTCGTGCAGAAGTTGATCATCATTTCCCCATTTTCGTTCTTAACATTCTCGTTATGTTTTTGTTTAATGCCGGGTATTACTTGATTGCATATTCGAGCGTTAAAATGCCCCAATATTATCATGTTTCCTCTGACTTGATCTACTACTTGTTGTAATTAGTCGTAAAACGCTTACCTTGTTGTTTGAGGCTTGTTATTTTCTGGGCCGTATACTCCGATGATATTCCGATCTGCCTTTTCCATTCTTATCTTTGCTGTTACTATTCTTTCTGATTTATATTGATCTGATTTATATGTGATTTTGGTGCCTTTAATGTATTAGTAAGGCTACACCTTCTTTGGCCCTCTTTTCTTTTGCTACTTCACTGTAGATTAGTATGAATTCACCTAATTTTGATTGACATTTCCTTTCTTTTTTGTTTCCTGTAGAGTACAAATGTCTATTTCTTTCTCTTTCGGCACTTGGGTGTTTCTTGGTCCCTTGTGTTAAGTAATCTGATATTCCAAGTAGTGATTCTCATCTGGGTTTTGGATGTTTCTCGCTTGTCCTTATTTCTTGCCGTAGTCGTCTTCATATATCAATCCGGTTTCGAGGCTACATTGTTTGTTTGAGCAGTTTACGTTTTTTGTATGTGATTCATGCTGGGTCAAATGACCCATTAAAAATCCCCACGGGCAATTAGACTATAGTAGTGCCAGTAGTGCGTTGTGTCAGCGCAATTCTCTCGATTTCGTGGATTTAAACCCCCAGATGTGATTGTAGAGAAACCATTCCTCAGTGAACGAGTTAGAATTCGGTGTGCTGTGTCTGGGCATGGGTTAATTGGTCCTTATTTTGGAAGATGAGAACGAGCATCCAGTTACTGTTAACTAAGAGCGGTACAGGATGGTATAGGCGTGGCCAAGTTTTTTTAGTGTGGGTTCCAATGCTGAAAATCACGCCCAACCCCCATATACATTTTTTTAATTTACAGCAATGATATTTTTATACTTATATAAAAAACAGTTTACAATTTTTTTAATAATTTTTTAAATTTAAAATATAATTTGTTAGCAAATTTTTGAAACGAGTATTGCGTGATCATAAAAAAAGATGGGTGACCACAGTCATATGTATATATATATATATATATATATATATATATATATATATATATATATATATATATATATATATATTAAAAATAAAAATTCAGATTGACATTAAAATTGTCTTATAACAACATATTGCAATACTATTCGTCGCTGGAATGGTACGATTTTTTTTAATTCGACGACTACATTATTTTTATATTTAGAGCAAGTTATTGTTAAACAAAAAAAGCACCATTAGATATTCTAGACAGTCTTGCAGCATTGTCGATCGAAGTATCGATTTTATTATTTTTTACCAGTACTGCGTGCTAGGGCTTCTTCTGATAGTAGAGCTACGAATTATCTAGACTTTATGTGTTTGCTAGGATTTGCTGTTTTGGTCTTCTGTGCTTCCATCGACGGAACGCATCATATCTTATTATCTCTCGCAAGATCGGACTTGGGAGATCGGAGCTGCTTGTATTCTCGTCCTATTGGAAGTATAATGCTGTTTGTTTGGCCGGCACAAAATCAGGCGTAAAGTCTTAAAAGATTGCTTACGCAAGCTCCTATTCTGCAACAAGCGAATTTTACAAACTCTTTTGTAATAAAAACAGACGCAAATTCGTATGCACTTGAAAGAGAGAAAATGAAAAACCGATAGAGTATGCAAGTGGCTTACTCACAGAGAATGGACGTAACTATAGTACGACAGAGCGAGAAGCTTTAGCTATAATAATATGTAATTAATAAATTCATCAACTAGATCATAAAATATATCATCAGCCACTAAAATGGTTAATGTCACTGAAGTCTCCTACTGGCCGACTTACTAGTCATTGGGATCGCTGATATGTTATCAAGGCCTATTTATGGTCCAGACACGAAAGATATTTGTAACCTCTGTACTATCGCAATGGATGTACCAACGATAAGCAATAAACAACTTAGAAAGGAACAGTTCACGGACTCACAACTTAAAATAATTATGGATTGCCTTGAATTTAATAAACCTGAATTGGTAGACACCAATCGATATACCGATCGTGGATATGTCATCAAACAAGGAGTTTGTATCGGTATAATCAGGACTTTGAATGTGACGACGCTCAGTTACTAGTACTTCAAAGTAAAATAATTGGTGTTTTAAAAGAGTAACATAACATGCCCCTTGCAGGACATTATGCTATTAGGAAAAAACGATCCAAAGAATTGCTCATCGTTGCTACTGGCCTACCATTAAGCGATATGTTGTAAAGCATATAAAGACATGCATCGGCTGCTACAGGTATAAACCTTTGAATTTGAAACCAGGAAGTCTGATTCAAATACCTGTGTTGGCACAACGCTTTGCAATTGATTTAATGGATCCACTACCTTTGACTGAAAAAGGAAACAGATATATTTTGCAGGGCGGCGCCAAGCCCTGCATCGAAATAAAAATCTAATACCGTCATTGTTTTATTTTTTTACTCTATTTGGGAGTACCAGAAACTGAATTCACTACGAATTTTGACCATGATGAACGGCTTGTGGAATGCATATTTTAGATTCCCTTGCCGATCAATTCACCAATCTGTTTGCTTTGCAAGTTGTAGAAAGCACAGTGGTCAAGATTTGAATTCAGTTTCGCTAGGTAAGAAATCCAATCATTTCTCTTGTTGATATTAGATGGCGTAGTTACGTCTGTAAATAATTATTTCGATAATTATTGTCCTACGACGGGATAGATTTTGTTTCGATTCAGAGTGGTGGCATATGCCACTCTGATGATACCTAAAGAGGTTGAAATACATATAAGCGGCTTGCCGCCGACCTGCATCGAAATAAAAATCTAATACCGCCATTATAAGTTCTTATTTTGTTTACGTCTGATACAAAGGGGAAGGATGGCTGATGACTCAGCTAAGAACTTTTATAGAAGAGTCAAAATTAATAATAGCTGAAGGCAAGTTTTATCTTCGAGGGTGGGAGTATACAGGCCAGGTCTCCGATGACACTATTGACGCCTCTACCCAGGTTTTAAGAATAAAATGGAATATAATGGATGACACCTTATGTCTTAAACAAGATGATGAAAATACAGATTAACTTTTTGATAAACCTATAACTAAAAGAGTAGATGGGAGAACTTTATCCAGAAAAAATTTGCAGACGAAAATTCTTGAAGGACCTTAGGTGAAGATTTCGAAGTGAGTAACTCGGTCAGTTGAGATTGTGGTCTAACAGGAATCTCAATCAGCAAGTCAAAGTGGGGGAGGTAGTATTCTTGGGAAACGATCAATACAAACCGACAACAGTGTAGAGGCGATCAAGGACCACATTCAGGGAACATGTGCGAAAGTGGCTATGGCCGAGAGTGGCGCGGAAACGGGGTATCTGAAAGCAGGGTACCCGAAACGAAAATAATTGTTACGCGAAGTGGGAGTTAAGTCAAACTCCCTGTGCAGTATATGAGATAGATGTTTTTTTTATCTATTTCTTTTTGTCATTGTTGTTTTAACGTTCATCGTATTTTATTCATTATGTCTCTGATAATTTTGTGAACCACGTTTATTTTTTGTGTAACAGGCTCAGGTGTAGGAATGTTAGAGCTATTTAATAATCATTAATATCAGTTTCGGTTTTATACACCCAGTATGTTAAGGTCTTAAAAAGCGTTCAATGAATTAAGTCGAGCCAATTCCACGTAAGACTATTCAGCACTATTTGTTTAGATTAGGCGGCGTTTATTTTGTAGGACAGTCCGAAAAGTTTATTAATGGAGTTGGGATGGACGACACGGTGAATTGATAACATTACATTACCGTGACACAATTTTTATTATTTTATTCACGTTGTTATTAAAAGATCCATAAGAAATAAGCTTTTCTTGTTTTCGAAGTGTGACGTTTTATATTTTATTTTAAAACTTTCTTTTTGCTAACATTAGATATTTTTCAATCGAACCGTGTATTTGGTGTATAACGGGTAGTTTTACATCAATGCACACAACAGATGCTGATAACAATTTAATAGAATGACGGAACGTAAAAGTGACACTGGTATGGGTGCCACGTATTGAAGAATATACTCCTTTGGACAGCACGTAGGCAATACTTTTCCTGTCCTTTGCACTAAGGGTATAAGGGCAGGAAAAGGAAAAATCAATATTCTATAAGACATGAAACCAAAAAAATGTAATTAGAAAACGTAACACACATAAGCATCAGGAGATATGTCAAATCTGTACGTAACGAAGTAGATAATTTTAGTAACATAAGTGAGCTGATTGTGATTGATATAGGAAATATGTCTATAAAAACAATATACTATATAAACAAAATATATTTATATTTTAAATAATACACAAAAATTATTTACACACTAAGTAAAATATAGGTTTATTTTATACTAAAATAGATGTTATATTCATAGGATGAACTCGTTAGTATTGTAATTTAAAGCTATTATTTATTGTGAAGGTAACGTAAATTATTTAAATATAAAATATTGGCATGTATAACACCATAAAAATTACAGACAATTGACAATATTTCATCAAATTATCGAGAATAAATAAAAATTGCATACTTTCAAAGCAAATGAAAGAAATCTTCTCTAACCAACAGAAGATGTCACTAGGGACATCAAACAATAGAATACAAGAGTTCGATTCCAAACTCCTCCCTTCCAATCTTCCAGTCTCGTTAAAAATATCAGAGCTTCAATGGATTAGTTTGTGCAACACCTTCTGCTTGACACACTGTTCTGGCAATGGCACTCATTTTTGAAAAATTGTCTAGATGCTTGCCTGATGCTACAACATCCAAGTTGGCTTTTACCCTGTCTGTTGCCTGAAATTATAAAAACTCCCAATTATTATTTTCCTACCAATTGCATCTCGCCTACAAGTGACAAAACTATGATTTCAATATTGTCAGTCAAATGTATGCCTTTACTCAATAAGTCCCCTGGTTTTAATTAATAAAACAACTTTTACGCAGAAATCGATCTCATTAATCAACTTCTTCTAGAACACCTTCTATATTTGATGGGAGTAAACCAAAATTTTTTTTGAAAATATTTACATTTGATATTTCGATTTCTACCTCAGAATTCGTTCTCATAATACAAATTAAACAAATTATTTTGTTTTGTCAATTAACAAAAATAAAACAAAAGTTTTTTCTAGTAATTCAGACATATACAGTGTAGGTAAAAGTTTACGGTCGGTATGGTAAAATTTAACAGGATATCTAACACAGATATAAAATCATATTTTCAGAGAATAGACAAAGATACCAATAATATTTCCCCTTGGTCTCCCCTCCATCTTTCTCATAGACGACCATTGCCAAGTGAGACGATTAGTTCCGATCAGAGATATTTTACATATCTCTGGTTCCGATCCAGTTTATACCTAAGAAACTAGAGGTTTTTTTTTTTTTTTTGGATGAGAATCTTCTAAATACTGTTGGATTCGTCTGAACTATAACGTTGGAATGTTGATAAGGTTAGTTCAGGCGCCTGCCAACTAAACTCACCCTCTCTTCCAGCAGCGCACCCGGAACTTTTCTTGGCGAATGCAACTTCGGGAGCACCACCGCGGTCTCCAATTTTCACGAAAACCTAGTATCGTCCTCGGTAGAGAGTCTCAAAGGTAGCTGAGTGACATAATGACAGTATAAAAAACAATATAAGTAAATAAATAGGACAGTTACACTATAAAATTAGTACAGAACGCTGAAGTATGTGTCTAATGAGCAAAAAACGCGAATTACAATTATTTTATTAGTCTTTCAGCCTATTCCTTCATCCTGTCTCGCTCTTTCTAGCGTCTCCTTTTTTTTATGATTTCCGTTATTATTTCTAACACATAATCATAGTTCTTTCTGTTCTGCATAGCTAAGTCCAGTATATTATTGGGCGTGACCTCCCTAGCTTAATTCTCAGTCTTTGACGTTCTTGTAGAAAGACATTACATTCGAAAATGCAATGTTTCGCGTCATCAGTCACACCACAATCCATACAGATATCGTCATTTGTTTTTTTAATTCTGTATGTATACGACCTAAAAGAACCGTGTCCGGTCAGGAATTGTGCAAAGAAATAGTTTATTCTCTTGAACCTACATTTGTACCATGCTTTTACATCGGGTATTAGTATTTTAGTCCATTGTGCTTTTTTCCTTTGTGCCTCCCATTCAGATTGCCATTCATCAAGGATCTGGTTCCTAATTTCGTCTCTTACCTGTGTCAGGTGGCCGTTGCCGTTATTGTATAGGATGGCTCTTTCTTTCGCTAGGAGGTGAATGGGGAGCGTACCAGCAATCACCTGTAAGGCTATCGTAGATGTAGTCCGGTACGCACTAACTACTTTAAGAAGGGGCTTTCTTTGAGCTTTTGTAATCAAGTCTTTGTACCTGGCAAACCTTAAGACTTCAATCCATACGGGGGCACCGTACAAAAGGGTCGAATGCACTATTTGCAAGTACATTCTTCTTTTATAATTACTTGGCCCTCCTATATTAGGCATTATTTTCATAATGGCCGCTGTTCTGCGTTCTGCTGCTTGGACTACATTTATCAGGTGTTTGGTAAATCGTAGACCTGTATCAAGGTGTATGCCTAGATATTTAGCACAATTGGTTGGGACTATCGTCGTACTTGCAAATTGGAAAGTCAGGTTGGGTATCGCTCTAGGCCCTTTTAATATAATTATCTCTGTTTTATTACACGCCAGCTGTAAGTCGTTAGTTGTCATCCACCTATTAACTTTTCTCCAGCATATATTAACTTTATTTATTGCATCCAAGTTTGTGTCACCCTCTATTAGTATTGCTAAGTCATCTGCATATGCAATTGCTGACGCACCTCTGCCGTAATCTATTTCCAATACTGTGTTATACAAGACGTTCCACAACGTTGGACCTAATACAATCCCTGCGGTACTCCAGCCGATAGTTTTGTTTTTTCTTTGTTTGTCACTTTAATATATCTGTCGGTGAGGTAATTTTTAATTATATTTATTAGGTAGTCTGACACTCCAGCGGTTTCCAGTTTCCTTATGATGTATGCCCAATTGGCAGAATTGAAGGCATTCTTTACATCGAACATAACAAGGATTGCCCATTTATTTCTTGTTTGTTTGACTGTATCACATATAAATTTTACCGCGTCTATAGCTGATCGTGTTTTTCTAAAACCGTATTGCTGGTCAGAAATAGCTCCTGTGTTTAGGAGCTCCTGTTCAAGGCGGCGTTTTATGAGGCTTTCATAGAATTTCCCAATACAATCTAATAAACATATAGGCCTGTATGAACTAGGCCCGTCTGGTGGTTTACCAGGTTTTAAGATTAAGACTAAATTTGCAATCTTCAATTGGTCTGGGAATTCTTGGTTGTGTAGGAGCTCATTTAATACCTTTCTGGTGACTTCAGGATTTTCCTGTACCATAATATGTATGGCTTCTGGTGGCACACCATCTGGGCCAGGGGATCTCCCGATTTTTATGTTTTCGGCAGCTAATCTTATTTCATCTATGGTGAACTCGTCAGGTCTATTATCTAGGGTATATGGTAGAAATTGGCATTCGGGCTTATTAGGAAAAAGGGCTTTCGCAATTTCCTTTCTTTTTTCTACACAAAGGTTATATGGAGCCTCGGACCTCAGTGTCTTAGTGGCAATTTTATAGGCTTCACCCCATATATCGTTGTCCAGCGTGTCACACAGGTTCTGCCAGCATGTGCGTTTAGCCCGCTTTATTTCTTTATTTAGTTCTTTCTTTACGCGCTTATATTCTTCCAAGTTTTCTTGGGCCCTGTTCCTTTGTGCTATTCGCCTGACTCTGAAACATTTTGTTCTTTTAAGCTGTATCTCGTCGTTCCACCAATAGGGTACAGTATATGTGACACATTTTTCCTTGCTGCTGCTTCTGTATGCATGTATTAGGTTTTTATGGTAGTTTGTGAAGTTAGTAGCTTCTTCTCGTAGGTTGCTAATTTTATTTTTAAATAGGTCTTTGTTAAAACTTATCTTTTTCCTACCGCTCTTCGTGACCTTGATGCCAATCTCGTAGACAATATATCTGTGAAAAGTAAAAATGTTTTCGTCAAGAACGTCCCAGTTAGATATTTGATTGGCATAACTTTCGTTTACGAGGGTAATGTCTATGTGGCTTCGGCTTTCACCCCGGACAAAAGTAGGTTTTCCATTATTTAGCGCTGTTAGATTGGCCGTAGAGATCCATTCGTTCCATAAATCCCCTCTATAGTCATTTCGTGGGGAACCCCATAAGATAGATTTAGCATTTACGTCGCCAGCGACTATAAAATTCTTTTCTATATGTGACATTTGTATTATGGATTCAATGTGCTGTTTGTATTGATCTCTACCTATGTTGGGTGAGATATAACAGGCAATAATAGCTACTTTTTCTAATTTGATTAGTACGTGCCCCTCCCCTTTTATAATCTTATTTATGCACACTTTATGATTTATGGGGTATATTGCTACATCTTCCCTGTTGTCTGTAATCCATCTGCTATTTTGGATGATTCTCTTGTTTGGTTCAGGTACTATTAGAATATCTGCTCCAATTTCGAGGGCGGATAGAAACTAGAGGTGGTTCGTTGACATTTTTATCGGAACCGTTTTTCGTAAACTGTAACTAGTTGATTGTTTACCAGTAGTTTCAAATAAGCGAGTACACAAACAAACATATTGGCTATTATCGTTTATGTGTAGAAGTATTGAAGTGAAAGAAACTAACGAAGGATATATTTATTATAGCTTGAAAAATAAATTAAACAATACAAATAGTAAGTAGTACATACATTTACATTACACATTATTAAATCGCGAATCGTCTAAATTGACATTTAAAAGCATAAGCACAAGGAACAGATTTTGTTACAATACTACAATATTTTATGAATATAGTGGTTAAGTTAGGATATACATGGCGATGGTTTTTCCACCACTGTAATGGACAGTTCCAATCTCCGTTCGAAATTTTTTGTGGGTAATATATCATCAGACAAATACATGTCGACTTATTTTATATCTCTCGATACAGTTGTATGTTTAGATTATGTTTAGATGAGTCATGTCCAATTAATTCATCAAAAATACACCATGGACTTAAGTCATCTTTATCACTTTCTTTTTCTTGTACTGGTTGATTTTCAATAGTACAATCTTCTTTTTCTTTTTTTTTATAGAAGTAACCAGTTTTTTAACTCTTTTTTTGTTTTTTACCTTCATTTTTATTAGAAAATCCCTGGATTTTAAATCATTATTTGTCATTTACGAATCTACGATTTTTCACTGGTAAGCCAACTAGTTGATGGTTGATTTAAAAAAAACTACGTTTTGTGCAGACCTAAACAGAGGAGCAACGAACACTTTACGTCGACGAGGACGATTAGTTGATCTGAGAGACTACTATAAAACTAAAAATAACATGTGACTCTTTCGGGACAGTGGATAGTCGGGCTATTGGTTGACGTTGAAAATAAAATAACTAGGTATTCTGATTAATGAATGAGTTTCGATTTACGATCGATCTGCATTTTCGATTTCAAATCTTTATTGATAATTCGTCAAATGATTTATTTATTGTAAATATTCAATTAAGAATTCTTTTTCTTAGTCAAAATTATTGATCTAGTATAAAAATAATAATTTTATTTTGAAAAAATGCACATTTGTAGAAGATGCAGCTTTTATGGTCCACTTTTTAAATATTGCAATGACTGAAATTTCTCCTGACGCATTTCTGTCCGTTTCGACTACTACTACAAGTACTGACATACTGCCACCGCCACCCAAGCGTCAAAAGGTGATGAATACTT